GACAGAACCCTAAGATAGCAGAGAAAGAAGAGGGTTCTTTGCAGCCAAGGAGCTGATTTTCACACGACTGCTTGCCTACTTTCCTTATATTTCTGCTTAACCATAAACTAGGAGGCAGTGCTCATCCCCACTTAAGGAGATGAGGGAAAACCAGAACTAACCTATGGAGAGGTGCCTCCATTCCTGGGTCCTTCTGGGACATGCTTATCTGGCCATTGCAACAGTGTTTCTGGTTCATGTCCATGTCCCCTCTAGTCCTACAACTTTTTCCTTGAAATCAGGAAGTCCCCAGTGATGCCATCTTCATTTGCTGGTGTAGAACATTGGAAGAGGGGAACAGGAGAGACTCCCGATCCTGGGGGAGCCAGAAGTCTGGTGTCTAACTACAGATGCCCCTCTGCCCTTGATTCTAATGTTGAAGTGTCTGCTTTGTGGGTAGAGGGTCTGCCCATTTCCAGGCTTTGGTCCTAAGTGCCACAGTGGAGACACAGTTCACTGTGAAGCCCTCAGAACATCTGTGTTCATGCAAAGGCTGTGAGTAACTGAGAACACGTCATGTCCCATGGAACTGTTGTGTGGTTGAGGAAGCAGACATCAGAGCATGGGCTTTGGAGCCCCACAGACATGGGGTTGTAGTCTTACTCTTCCACTGTATGCCCTTAGGTGACCTGATGTCTCTGGAGGTCTGTTTCGTCTGTAAAATGGAAATAATAAAACCTAATGTAGTTACGCAAGTGGCATGAACTTGGGCAGGAGTAACTTTCAGCAGAGTGCCTGGGACATGACATCTCGATGCTGGCGATTTTGTTTATGGCTCATGAAATCTAGGGTCGTAATCATAAGCATCTTCTCTGGGTAGAATATCTTGAATTGCTTCCACATATTTCCCACATGTGAATTCTTTGATTCTCACAACCTCTTGGCAAGGTAGTCCCCTGTCGTACATGAGGAGGCAGGTTCAAAGGGGCCACGGGATGTATCCAAGGTCACAAAGTTCATTAGCGGCAGTACTAGGCGGAGGTGGGACCCGGCCACACTGAACATTTGCATCTTGGCTTGGCAAAGCCTTTGGGGGCTACGTTGAGCAAATAAGAGCTGTTTGAACTGAGCATAATCCTTCTTGTGGACGAAGAAAATTGACCGCTAGCTACGGTTTATCTGCTAGCCCCACCATATTGTATTTTTCTTTGTACCCTGTGCAATGTCCGACACATTGCAGGAGTGCAACAAATACGACCTCATAAGAGTACACTTTGCAACAAGGCTGAGTGATATATTGCCACCATGGTACTCTTTACCACCAAAAGGAAAATCTTTCTCCAGGCATGCTGTATGGTTTTGTTCATGCTGCTCAAGTGACACCAGATGTCCAGAGTGTGGGATTCCTTAAAACACTCTGAAACACGTCCACAGACCTCTGGTGCCACTTGGCCGTTTCTCTTGACATGAAAGTGACATGACGTCAACCTTAGCAAACTCTAGGGAAAGGATGGGAGGACGCGAAGTGGAGCATTTTTGACCTCTATGTAGCTTTTTCTTTTTCTTCTCTCTTACTCTGTACTCTTCCCGGGCCGTTGTGTACCTCCCGTGCTGATGGTCTTCAGATTCATATCCACAGCGCCCGTGTCCATCTGTCTTGATGCCAAATCAACATGTAAGAGCACTGCTACATTTGTATTTATTGTCTCTCATCTCGGTGCCTCTGTTGAGAGGGCTAGATAGCTGGAGAGATTTTTTTTTCACCACCTGTGCATTGATGTTTCCTCCTGCTTTTTTATGACTTGCTATGTGGTCTCTACCTCTCAGAGTCAAGATGCTTAGGTATTTGTTGTGCTTCCCTCCAGATAGTCCTAGTTTAATTTTTGCCGAGATATACAACGTGTCCCTGTGTGTGTTCTCTTTTCTTTGTATGTTGACTTTTATTAAAGTTACCCATTCGAGGTCCATCTGCGGATACTTATTAGTCTTTGTAGAATTTTTATGTTTGTTAGTAGAGTCTATATAAAAGTTGAAAGGCATTTTCTCTAAAAGTCATAAATGCTGTCATATTGGCCAAAATCATTAGAACAGTTTGTCCTTATTATTCTTATGGGAATACAGTTATTACTGGTGCTTTAATGACTGCTAACATGAGGGGCTTCCAACATAATCATATTTATTATCAGCATACCAGCTTCGTTTATTTTTCCTCCCACCATTCTAAGCTAGTCGTTTACTCTTGTTTGAAAAGACCCCCCAAAACAGATAAAACCCAAACAAAACAGAAACTGAGACACAGTTCTGTTTGGAATCCCCAACAGAAACTAAAGGTTAAACCAGGGACCTTATACATAGCACGGTGACTATAGTTAATCATACTGTATTTTGTACTTGAAATTTGCTGAGAGAGCAGATCTTACGTGTTCTCACCACACCAAAAAAAAAAAGGTAGCTGTGTAAGGTGATGACTGCATCAATTAAGTTGAATTGTGGTAACTGCTTCACAGCATATACATATATCAGACCATCATATGGTACACCTTAAGCATATACAATTTTTATTTGTCAATTATACCTCAGGAAAGCTGGAAAAACCCCAAAGACTTAAAAAAAAAAAAAAAAAGAATTTGGCCTCCCACATTCTTTTGGTCCTTTTGGGGTAGAGTTGTATTTCCATTCACGATTCTGAGACCAGTTAATCCCACCAGGCCTAACATCCCTGCTGTCTTCGGCCAATGCCCAAAACAGAGGCCCCTCTTGAAATGTCCCTCCTACTGTCTTTCTAGTTCCCTGGTACCTGTGCTTGCTTTCTCCTCTGGCTCACCCGCTCAGTAGTGTTTCTTCCAAATTATTTCCACATTGCTACCTGGAACATTCCACCCTGTGGTGGAAAAATTCCCCGAGTCTTCAGCCTTGGACATCTGCCACCTTGTCACCCAAGTAAAAATTCTGTGGTTCTAATTATTTCTAATCTTCTCTGGGCCCTAACACATAATGTTCCTTGTGCCTGAGACATGTCCTCGCCACGGTGTGGTTACTTGTTCTGCCGAATTCAGCTCAAATGTACTTCCTTTGCGAAGCTGCCTTCATGCTGTGGAGAGTCCCTTACTCTGTCCTTCAGTAGCAACCTGTTGCCATCCTTGTACTGAGCTGTCATGGCCCACACCCATTGCACTTTAAATCTCTTCAAGGGCAGACTGTACCTTGTTCATGGCTTGCCCTAGAACCTAGTGAACTCCTACTCATCCTTCAATACCCTGCTCAAGTGCTGTATCCTCTGACTTCGCTGGACAGTATTAGTTACCCTTCCTGTACTGTACTTCCAAAGCATCCTCTGCCTACTTGGGCACATACCAGATAGGTGCTTTGTCAATGCTGAATGAATGAATTTATTTCTAAAGATTCAGTGATTTCCTCAAGATCACAGAATGATCCAGAAGTAGAACTGGAATGAGCTATTCTTCTTTTGTTGGAGAGAATTCTTTTGGGTATATAAAAGAGTAGCTAAGAATCAACCCCTGAAATTAAAACTGCATAACAGAATGCAACTTCGTTCTGAAATGAACTGTGAAAGGAAGGATTTTCTTTTTCCAAGTATTATCTTCCTAATGCATTCCCCAAAAGAGGTCTGTTCTGCTCATGCATGGTTACCGTTCTAGAAGATGCTTTGTATCAGACCATACTGACCTCTTCTTCCATAATTCATTAGGAGCCAGTGACTTGGCTTTTTTAAAGTCTCATACAGGTTCCTTTTTCCAGAGGTTTGAGATCTGTTCTCTTTCTTACATAGCCCCAGACTCATTTAGTTCAGCAGAAACAGGGGCCTAAAGCTAAGAAGGCTACTCTAGCATGCTTGGAGTATTTGTTGCTTGGAATATACTATTGAATAATGGCCCGCACCAACCTCATGCTTTTCACTTTTCACATCCTGGTGAACTCCTCCTCATCCTTCAATACCCTGCTCAAGTGCTGTATCCTCTGACCCCTCTGGGGACATATTATCCTCCCTGCTGTGTCCCTCCAAAGCTTCCTATGCCGAGGGTCTCATTGCATTGTATTTCCTACTGCTATGTCTGTCATCCTCACTAGACTGTGAGCTCTTTGAAGACAGGGACTGCTCTTCATCTCTCTTTGTATGCCCTCTGTACCTGACCCAGCACCGGGGGCCTATGGGTGTTGGGGGCATGGGGATGAAAGGCAAGGCAATGATGTTCTTTGGAACAATATCCAATACCTCCCTTACGTACGGACGTATGATTATTGGCCCTGATTTCTCATCTAGTAAGATAACAGCAGTCAGAGAGTCTTGCCCTCCTGTGAACTGTTGCAGTCCCTCCTTTTTTTAGCACCCTTTGTTTTGCAATACACATACCCTGACTTGTTTTGTAGTTGCATTTTTATCTGTATATTTAATAAACATTTTATATATATATATATGACGTGCAGCCAGAGATGAAACCCACTGCTCAAGCCTATAATCTCACTTCCAGTGCCTAGCACGGCACCTGACACAGAAGCTTAAATCATTATTTGTTGTTTGAGTACGTATGAATGGAGACACAGATGGGTTACTTAAGGGACATATTCTTAGAGTTACTATCAGACCCCTTAAAAGGTAGTAGGTTTCTGTTTTGGTCTCAGGATTCTTTGAAGCAAGAGTCAACCAGAAATCAACATGAAGAACCCATGCGGTTGGTTTCTTTTTCTAGAAAAAGCAACGTTAGGCTGACGGAAGATCTTTTCTTGTCCTCTCCTTATACAGCCGTATAACCAGTAGCCCCTCATTCTTAAGCAGGGCAGAAGAGGATAGGGCATGCCTAGGCAACCTGCGAAAGGCCCAAAGCAGCTGGTGGTTGGCTCACATGACCGTGGGTGCAGACAGTGTATTAGGCTCAGTCTTAAAGCAGAAAGAGCACTCTGAGATGGACATTGTCTGATGCAGAGTTATAATACAGAGTTATAGAATTTATTGTGAACACCGCCTTTCCTCTCCTTGTTCCTACCTGGGTTTTTTGGTCCAGATGTCTGCCAGGCCACAGTCCAGGCTCCACAGGAGAAATTTAGAACCTACCGATGGGTCCCCCCTCAGGCCTGCTGACTCCAGCTCCTGGCACCAAACCCTGCTTCTGCTTTATCTACAGTTCTCCTGCTGGGACACCGTATCTTCCCTTGAGGTGAGGGCCGGGCCCCGTGATCTCAACCCAGGGGCTTCCCAGGGCCGCAGAAAGTCTTACGCCCAGGGCAGTCTTCCCGTCCTGTGTGTGTGTGAGCACTGGGGAAGCAAAGCCGACTGCGTGCTGGAGGGCAGATCTGCTCTCGCATGAACCCCTGGTGAGCCATGTCTTCTATAAGTGGACTGTAGCAGCTGCCCCAGGCAGTGGAGTAATCCATGGCAAGGGGAACAGACCGCTTGGTAGATCCAACAACTGGCAAATGAAGAACTTGTGTAAGTTGGGAAAACCAGCATGCTCCGTTGTGAGGTCATCCTTCAGATCAGGCTTTCGGATTCTCGAGGGATTTCTCTGAGTGGGGTATGATCTTTTCGTGGACCCATGGCCAGTTTGATGAAGACCAAAATATTGTCTTTGGCCAGGGGAGGAGACAGGGGATTCCAACCACCAAGGCTCTGGCCAACTGAATCTCAATCTCCGACCATCTGTGAAGTGGGATAGATGGAAAGTAGGTTTTGTCATATCGCATTCTTCCTTTAGTATTGGAGGGAAGCCTTTTTTTTTTTTAAATAGATAGTATTTCCTCTTCTTTAACCATAGCCCCCAAATAAGATGCTGAGATACACACGCAACTCTCTTCAAATGTGGACATGGAAACTTAGGTCAAGGGCAGAAGCCTGAAAAAGAGTGGCTGCATTTTATGCCAGCTCACCTTCTTTGACCTCCAGTTCTGACAAGATGCCATTCATTCGTTTGTTCGTTCATTCATTTGGGTGAAATATGAGCTTTGCAAATCGATCTAAATTCCTGCTTTAGAAATGATACGAAGGTCTCCATCGACCCCATGTATCTCCCCTCTTCCAACCTGCAGCGGCCACCTTCTTGCAGAAAACCGATTTGGGGACAGAGTAACTGAGAACAGAGCAAGGACCTAGGATGGTGAGCCGCGGCACATGGGTTGGAAAACAGCATTCAGGCATCTGTTTGGTGTACAGAAAGCCTTAACAAATTTGGGAATTGAATTTTGAGGCCTGAATTTGAGGAAATTTGTGGCTTTTTCACTGGAGTGGATCAGGGCAGGGTGTAATTATCACCCATGCATAGTAACAGAGGGCAGCTAAAACCCCAGAGACTCAAGACGTTGGCTTACCATATCCTGCTCACTGAGGCTGTCCGTCTGCATCTAGTTTTTCCCATCTGAATGCCTCCGAGGATACCACGTTCTGTTTTGAGAATTAGGAAATGTTTTATTGCTAGGCTTTGCTCCCCTTTTCCTTTTCCCACACATGTCTTAGAGGCATCTTTGAAGGTAATCACCTTGGGTGGTGGTTGTTTTGTTTTGTTTTGTTTTATGCTAAAGAAATAGTCTACCTCTGTTCTTTACGCATCCTATTTTCTCTTCTCAGAAGCATCAGTGTTATAAGTGTAAAAGCTGAAACCTGTAATAATGCATCAGTTTGCAAGTATAAATACACATCCCGTGATCATTAGCATTTTCTTTTTTTTTTTTTAGATTTTTTTATTTATTTATTTGACAGAGAGAGAGAGGTCGCAAGTAGGCAGACAGGCAGGCAGAGGGAGAGGGAGAAGCAGGCTTCCCACTGAGCAGGGAGCCCAATGCGGGGCTCAGTCCCAGGACCCCAGGATCATGACCTGAGCCGAAGGCAGATGCTTAACGACTGAGCCACCCAGGAGCCCCTCATTAGCATTTTATTGGCATTAGCTCATGGCAACATACACGATGAATATTAAAGTGTGGCGCTGCGTACATGTAGAAGCTTAAGAAGTCATTCAAATAAGGACTGTTGGTTCCACATAATATGTGCGGTGTATGAGGTCTGGATGCTGGGGTCTGCCTGTTGATTTCCTTATTTGCAGCCTGTCTTTGAAATTTGCAACTATAACAGGCTGGCTTATTGGATTTAATGAATGTCAAGTTCCTGCCGCAAACAATGGAAGTCACTCATTAAAGACGTTAGCCGAGAACAGGACTACCGCCGACCTGACCTCATTTGCGTGTGTGTCTGAGAGCAAACACGGATGTGTTCTGTGTGACCGTGCCTGTGTGTATGTCGGTAGCGCGCTATCTCTCGCGGGGTCTAAGATTGAAACCAGGCGGCTGGAGAAAGAGCTAGTGCCTCCCTTGCTTGTCCGGCTGCTTCTGCAAATAGGCCTAACAAGTAGCTCCGTTCCTCCTGATCAAATGATCTTAGGAATGGCTTCCCTTCATTACCCACTGTAATGGTATCTCCCAGGTGAGGCTTCTCTGAAACAGCACACCCCTGTCTCTGATAGCAGAGTTCCCTTGGTGAGTGCCCCAGAACAGACAAGCTCCAAAACAAGGCCGTCTAAGAATTGGTTCTGCTGGCCAAAGCAGCCTGTTGGAGTTCTGTCAGCTAATCACCTAGCCTTGGGCTGTTGGATGAGAACAGCCGGTGAAACCGGTAAGTACCGGCCCCCAGCGGGTTTAAATGAGAAAGCTAGAACTGTCATGTGAGTATATGGGGACGATAAAAGTGTATATATGAGGGGTATGTGTGTGGGGCTGGTTTACTTGGGTACACTTTGCGTGGGTGTCCTGGAAGGGAAATTGAGGAGCGTTTGAGATTCTCATCTCCCTTCTTGCACTTTGTGACCCTGGGCAAGTCAACCTCGGTGCTCTGTAAATTCCTCGTGGTGAAGATGGGGCTGGTACTCCCTTCTTCACATGGTGGTGTTCAGCTCAAGTGAGGGTAGAAGCTCTTGGGATGTTACAAATTTGTGGAGTAAAAAAAAAAAAAAAAAAATGAGGTGTTGATCATCAGCTGGTAGCTGACTTCTACACCGTGCCCAGTGGCTTGGCAGTTCGACTACTGCCGGTTTTTCCAAACATGGCTTCTTGGCTCAGACCTGCTTTGAGTGGGCATACGGGCTTTTGCAACATGATGAAAAACATACTCAGCACTGTGATAAATACACAGAATGTATAGAGTTCTGGTTACTACTTCATGTGTGTATTTAATGCCGGCTAGGAACAAGGCACCGAACGAGGCACTGTGAAAGCATACAGTTAGAACTGGGGGGTCCTTACCCTCAAGGAGCTTATGATCTAGTGGAGGAAATGGCATGTATAAGGACTATGCGCACTTCGAGACGAGGTGACAGATCTGCCAAGTTAGGCCCATCTGGCTGCCTGTCCTTGGTGGTTGGGCTCTCCCTCGTCCACTTAGCTTGGGAATGCGAGGAGTGTGGGTTCGGAGCTGCTGGGAGACTCAGACCTGGCTCATTCTCCCTGTCAAACTAGGCGAATGTTCTTTCCCTCCTCTTTGACATCTTAGCATACTATGGGAATTAATCTCTGAAAAGCTGCTAGAAATCTTCAGATGCAGGTTGCTGTCAAAATGCAAAGCAGTATCTTCCATATTATAATACACTGCCCCCTTTGTGAAAGACTTGGTGATTGTTCTTGGTTTTTCTGGCAATTAAAAGCAGTCCCCTACATCTTCTTGCATTGTCAGTCATAAGCTGGTTGGTTCAGTTGCCAATGATGTGTCCAGGATGAGTGGGTTTCGTATTAGCGTAGGCTAGTTAGCAAAGCATACCTGGAAGGTCAGCGAGCCATCTTGAAAATGGGTGCTTTTGTTTACAAGGGAGCCAAGAAAGGAGCCAGCAGGTAGCTCTTGGATCCTTTTTCCCCACCACCAAAGTATAATTCAGTGTGTCCATCGTTCTCCTGGTAGGCGAAAGCAGCAACCTCATCCTCAAATACAAAGAACAGCCCAGCACTGATATCATTGTCTCGGGAGACACTTTGGCTGACTTTAAATCTGTATTTACATAATATCTCCAAGTCTGGAGGCTGTCATTAAAAGCTCAATTATTTCTTGGTCTGTAGAGCTAGCGCTTGTTAATCAAGGTCTCCCAAGTTCTAGAAATTTGAAATACTCTCCTATGTTGTTACATGTTTTAGCATAGAGTTCCATGACTTGTTTACTCTATTTTTGAGACCCTAAAATCCATCTCCTTTCATATGTGCTCTTGTCAGTTTGGCTGCCATCTGATCAGCTTGAGGTGTCTTGCAACCCTATTCTTCATGTAGTATCTCAGAAACATTAGGAAGTTCCCCCTGGAAGTTTCCCCTAGGTTACATCTCATTTCTATGTTAGATCCTCTAGTTTGATATGAAGAGGGTGTTAAGCAATATTGGTGTGCTCACCGATCTGTAGTGATAGCCTCGTGTGGCTGGTGGTTTGGGAGTTCTACCTCGATTTTGAAAGCAGACAGAATGATACAGACATGTGGGTTGTCTCTGATGGCACCAGATTGGATGGAAACATTTCTTTCAGTTGCTTGTGACTTAATAGGAGGCCTTGAAAATTGTAGGGCCAGTGTTGCTGGATTCTCACCCTTCACACACCTGGGCAGAACACCCGTGGCAAATGGGCACGACGGGCATTTTTGATTGTATCCAATTCAACACCGATGCCGTAGTGTGAATTTTGGCCACACTAGCTACAGTTGATCATCTGTCTTTCCTCTTGACTCCTGCAACATGCAAGTTGGTGGCTTTCTCTTTGAATCTACTGAGGGTTCACTGAGTGTCTGGTGTCTCACTGCACTGATTAAGAGAATGCATTTTTGAGGAATGAGAGTTTAGCCATAGAGCTTGATTAAAGTTTTCCTCTAAAATGCTTTGCACCAAATCTTTGTGTTAAAACACAAGTCAGAGGTGCCTGGGTAGCTCAGTCAATTAAGCGTCCGCCTTTGGCTCAGGTTATGATCCCGGGGTCCTGGGATCGAGCCCCTCATCGGGCTCCCTGCTTAGTGGGGAGTCTGCTTCTCCCTCTCCCTCTTGCCCTTCCCACTGCTCCTGCTTGCTCTCCCCTTCATGCTCTCTTTGTCTCTCTCTCAAATAACTAAAATCTTTAAAAAAATAAAAAATAAAATGCAAGTCAGTGAAAGGCTATGTGGTGTGTGTGTGTGTGTATGTGTGACTGTGTGCACATGCCTGCCCTCACACTTGGGGGTGAGATTGGGTGGAGTGTGGAGTAAAGAGAGAAAAAAAAGCTAAGGAGGAAGGGGAAGAGAGAAGTAATCGTTCCTAGTACTCTGAAGAAAGGGGTGTCCAGGCTCCTTGGTTATCCTGAAACAAGAGGCTTATTTCTTGTTGCTGATGAATTTCAATTATAATTACAGACCATCGGTAAGCCACATTAAGTCCCAAGGGCTGGATCAAAAATATACTATACACCATGTGCAGGAGCCACTTGAATTCTCTCTGAAAAACCTAGTAGCCAAGTAGTAAATCAAGTTGTGAGCAGATATAAACTGTTGCTGGTTATCCGTTAAAGTTAGCTCTTTCTCCACAATGCTAAGGGCCATGTTCTAAAAGTGGAATGAATGGGCTGGGGCTAGCTCCAGTGTGCCACTCACTTGCCAGTTTCTGTTCTGTTGCAGAAGTGAATGACAACAGTTAAACTTTAAAGATAAACAGTTTTTTGATTGGGTTCCTAGAGAATAATGGCGCTTTTGTATAATTCTTGAAATAGAGCCTACAGCCGCCCCGAACAAAATAGTCTCTTTCAAGATCTTGGAAATAATGACATCATAGGCAGATTGAACCAGCAATCCATTAATAGTATCCTTTGTAGAAAGCTGTCTCAGGGGAGGGACCTGGATTAGTAAATTGGCATTGTTTACAAACATAACATAATAGAATCCCCCGTTCTTCTACGTTTCTGGACTAATCGGAGACACTTCCCACTTGGGAAACATACATATTAACAGCTGAGCTTCCTTACTGGCCCATACCCCTTTTCCATCGGTCTTCTGAAAGCATGCTTTGAAGCGCTTGCTTTGAAGGTGAGTTAAAGATAACAAGAGCCTCCTGCACTATTCTTTTGTCACCAAATCAGAATTCTCTGGAATGATTTAGGAGATGAACGTTGGTTGTGCCTGGTAAAGGGTAATAAAGAACTGAAGTAATATCAGGACAACTCAAGCAAAACCAAATCCGAAATGTCTAGGTAAAACTGAATGATGATTTGCTTCATGCTTCCCATTTTCAGTGTGGAACTAGACAAGGTTTCCTCAGTTTCTTTTCCATCTCTGTGAAAGGTGTATTCTGGCTCCTCTTACAATCCCCAGATGAGGTGACTAGAGTAAAAACAATTCCAGTTTGCTGGGCAGTAGGAAGGTGTGCCATATAAGCTGGATCCTTCACAAATGCCTGTGTTATGGACCACGGCAAGCATGTGGTGGTGAAATTTTGGTCAGGGATTTCGAGTGTAACATAGGGGAGTATAGTTGGGCTTTTCTATCCCAAGTACCGCCTTTTTCCCCAGCCTAGAACATACCTGGTCAAATAAGGTCAGAATAATCAGGCAGCTTGAAAAGAAGCAGGGCATCTACCAGTTGAGTCTCTAGCCAGAGAGAGAGTAATTAGGAACCAAAACACCCCTCCGTTAGCCACACCTAATTATCAAGAACAAAGGAGCCTAGTATTTTGAATTACGTAGGCGTACTAGAACCCTGACTGACCCAGACTCTCGCTTGCCTTATTACGTAAGGTCAACTTCATATATCATATTAAAGAGGTCATGCCTGTTTCTCTGACTTTTGTCATCTTAAGTTATGTAATATGTCATCAGAAAATATGTATCATCCAGCTCTT